GTGAGAAGAAAATTTTAAATGCATGCCGTAAAGTTGTGCACTGTCAAAGAGGCTGGGTGACCTTTCAGCCAATGCAAAGAAGGAAACACAGTCAAGAGATTCAGTGTCACAACACAATAGCCAACCAGAGGCTCAGTGGCTTAGCTTGTTCAAATGTTTATTCTCATGGGTCCTGAGAGTAAAGCAAGAGATTACAAACAACATCCTTGGTGGAAACCCTCAGCAAACATATTGATCAGTAGGGTTCCTCTCTCTTTAGTAAGCTCTCTCTGTGGCTTCCATCTGAGGTTAATTCTGGTCCCCTGAGCTGCCCATACCAGCCTCGTTTGCTCCCAGCCTATGCCGAATTGAATGCTTGTTTTCTATTCCTATCTGGATATCTAGGTTCCCCTTGAACCATCATTCCTAGTGGGCCAGAGGGGCACTTCTTTCCTACCCTTTAGCCTGTGCTCATGTGTGCAGTGGAGAACAGACTCAAAGCCATTTTGGTTTTAGTCCTGAGGTAGAGGTGGTGGGGATGATGATGATGATGATGATGATGATGATGATGATGATTTTGGTAATGTGCGAGTTCATTGCTCAGTCTCAGTGAATCCAGACTCGGTGAGCGGACTGAAGTGTTTAGTACCTGAGGATCTAGTGGTGACTCTGGACTGCCTTTGGAACCCCAGAATGATCAGTACGGGGAAAGCCCTGGACCTGGATTTAGAGGCAACTGCATGTGCAGAGGCACAGACTCAAACCATTCCCCAGGCCTGCTCCTAGGATGCAGGGCTTCTGGCTGGGCCTGAGCTGGTCAGGCTGCTTCTGCAGTTTCTGCCCTGGTCTGAGGGCTTCTGTCTTTTTTAACTCCCTCAGGCAGGAAGTATCTGTGCCCAGACAAAATTTCCTTATGGATGAGAATCGAGCTCTGCTTCGGGACAAGAGCTGAGCTCTCTAAAATGAGTTCAGTGGCCGAGTGGCCAACTGCATGCTAAGCCCTGGGTCAAGTGCTCAGAGTGACCAAGGAAGAATCTGCCACGTTCGGGATGCTTCCTGTTGGGCTGAGGCAATGAGACTGACATGAGAACCAGGGCAGACGGTACAAGCCCTGTGGTACTGAGTCTGAGCGGTGTCAGAGTGAGGGAGTGGAGAGGCCTGGGAGGGCCAGAGTATTTGGGGAGACCTCTCTGGGGTTGCCAATCTTTTGTGTTCATTAGTCCACAGGGTGCACCTGATTTGGGTAGGGATGAGACCAGAGGATAAGCTAAACCCAGAGTAAACAGGCTGGGGATACACAGAAAAAATAATCAAAGGAAGGTTAATGATCTCGGCTTGGCCCTTACTCGGATGCTTTCTGAGGTCACTCGCAGCCTACAATTTAGCGTTGAAATTCGTGGTTAAGACAACTGTGCTCTCATGCTGCCTCCCTCTGGCTGTTGGGGAGCACAGCAGCGATAACTGGGAAGGTTGCTCAAGATGAAGGTTTGGTTGTTAGTTTTACTTAACCCACACCTGGTGCTTTTATAGTCTAGCAAGTCCCCTTTTGATGGAGAGAACACATTTGATGGTTGAACACATTTTTAGGAGCAGTATAAGGCTGTCCCAGAAAGAACTCGGTTTCTATCTGTAGGCCTCAGAGCGGTTGGACCAGATGCTCTGAGTCCCCCCTGGCTCTTCACCATGTGATTCTAGGTAAAAATAATTTATATAGAAAGATATGTCTATGGGTGTCAGATAGGCTGGGTATGGGTAGGAAATATATGACTAAGATAAGACTATCTGGCTAGATGACATGAAATATGCTCAGCATTGACCATTTTAAAAAAAATTACTGTGCATTCAGTGATTCGTGTCATTAATTCTGGAGCTTTTCCTGTGTATTAGTCAAGGAAGACTAAAACAGGAATCTTGCCGTCATTTTTGAGGGGAGGGACTAGATTCTCCTTCTACTAGGCTAGTTGCTTCTCTAGGACTCAGACTTCGAAATGAAGAATCTACATAATTTTGCTTAAGGTTCTCTTTGAGGCTTCCTGACATTTTATATCCTGTCTCTTAAACAGTGCTTTGAGCTGAATATGCAAGTGTAATGCACTGTCAACAGTGCTTGTATACAAAATAGAGAAAACTGTTCTATTCTTCTCTTGAAATCACTGTCACTCTCCTTTCTAGAGAAGATTCCCCGCCCTCCCCTTCTCCCAGCATTTTTCTGGTGTGGTCACAGGTCTAAGCTGCAGGGTTTGACACATCTCAGTTAAACAGCATCTTTCTTCTTCCACGAAAGCATGTATGCCCCCTTCCCTGTGGCCAGTCTCACAGTTGTACCCTCATAATCCCGGATCCATGTGCAGGATCCCCAGAGGATACTGGCTGCTTTTTCAGACAGAGGGACCTCAGCTGTCCTAACAGGCCTGGCTTTTCGTGCTGTGTGCCTAACCTTGCCGTTGCCTGCCCTTCCTTGCTCCGTTCTACACTGACCCCTCCTTGATATACTTTGTCTCCTCTGTGTAGATTGTAAATGGACATTAAGTGGTTGAGGGAGATGTGAATGAGGGTGGTGTGAAGGCATGGGAGCCCCACCAGGTCCAAAACCCACTGGCGTTTTCTGACGAGGAGGAGGAAGACCTGCTGGATTTCATGTACAAGTATAAGACACTGCGAAAGACGGAGTTCCCCCTGGAGGTACACGGCGGCGTCTGGGCCCGTGGCTTGGAGCATGTGTTTGCACAAGGGCTTCACCCTGGAGATCTGCGGGTTCTGGGAGCAACACCTCTCGGGCACCCAGGATCCCCTGAGTGCCTGAGGTGGGGCGATCTCCCTCCATCAAAAGAAAGGGCAAGCCCTGGGTAGCATCCAGCTAACTGCCTAGGGGCAAAAAAGACTCTACTAATTTTATTTAGAAATATGAGATGGGATATAGTGTTTAAATAAAAAAAAAATTAACTACTAACCTAAGATATGTGAGTGAAAAGCAACCCAGATGAGTGTTGGGGGGAATGAAAAACTCAGAATGTGTTATTTGACAAGGTTTTATAAATAAGCTTGTTTATTATTGCATCTCCAAGACACATAGTGCCTGGTGCAAAATAGATACTCAGAAAATGTTATTAAAAGGGCACAACTCTTTAAAATCACCCAAAACAATACACTGGATATATGTACTATTGCCAGTTATAAATGTAGATAAAGTTTTGCAGCAGGAGGGTCAAGCCTAGAGCCTTACGGGCCTTGCTCTGTGATGTGAGTAGGACGTCACCAGCCTTGGGATTAGGTGTGGGGCCAGGAGATTTGGGGGACCCCAGAGTCTTCCTTTCTACCCCCTTATGTCACCTCTCCTATTCCCTATCTGCTGAATACTGTGACCCCAGGAGGCCCAGATGAGGAAATGTATTGAAAGAGTCCCCTACACAAACATAGTGACCTGTAGTCGCTGTTCACCCTAGGACTGTAGTTATTAGCACCTCAATGTACCTACGGCCATAAGATTCCTTCCTGAGGTAGGGCACTTGGGGGGTACTTTTGAAGTTACAGGTTTTGGTAAAAGTTGTTCTGGGCATGGAAATTGCTCGAGGAGTCCATTACTGCCTGGGCAGCTCCAAGATGGGGAGAGGGCTGGTGAGGAAAGTGCCAAAATCATTGTAGGGCCTGATGGGTTGTGCCATATGGTTTTGTTTCTTAAAGCTCCACAAGCTGCTTTACTGTTAAATAGCTTGAGGCAGGTTACTGATTGGCGTAGGTTCACTGATTCTTCTATTATTCTCTGTCCAGAGATGGCTGATAAACATTTCCTAGTTGTAAAGGTATAGTGTGAAGACTCAGGATGTGGAATGCCTGGGCCTTCTGTCCCTTCTCCCCACCCCAATCCCACCACCTACCCTGTGTGCCTGCTGGTCACTGAGCAGCACTGGTAAATGATGGTGCACTTGGACCTGTCCTCAGGAAGTGGATGGGGGAAACAAGCACACCTGCCATGGGTGCAGAGTCCTCCTATGTCCTCTAATGTGCAAACCATGAGAACAAAGGAGATGACAATCCTAGTTGTGTGTGACTGGGCCTTGGGAGTACAAGGCACTCAGGAGCGACCTGAGCTGGGTCACACAGAGGACTAGAAATAGCAAGACAGAAAAGGGAAGAAGGGCTTCTAGTCAGAAGGAATAGAGGTATGAAAGGACAGTGTTATATAGATCAGTGGTCTCCAACCTTTTTTGGCACCAGGGACCGGTGCTATGAGAATCTAATGCCTGATGGTCTGAGGTGGAGCTGAGCCGGTGATGCTAGTGTTGGGGAGCAGCTGCAAATACAAATGAAGCTTCACTCACCTGCCACTCACCTCCTGCTATGTGGCCCGATTCCTAACAGACCACTGACTGGTACTGGTCCCTGGCCCTAGGGTTGGGAACCCCTGATGTAGATAAAGAAGTTGAGTACAGAGGAGTGGACAGAAACATGGGTTGAGGATAGGTTGGGCCCCTCGTGTGAATCCCTTTGAGTGCTATGCTAGGAGAAAACCCTTTCTATTTCAAGACAATGTTTCTCTTTGTTGTATGGTTTGCTGTGCATTAAAGGATTTCACATCTAGAAAGAGAACTGGAAATTAGGTTACGGAAATTTTTAAGCATGTACCAAGAAACACGAGACCAGTTCCCAAAGGAAATAACAAAGGGAAGAGATGAGGAGGCATTTCTCTCAGCTGAGTCACTTGTCAAGATCATTTTGCTCTGAGGCAGAAACAAGAAAGACTAGCCATCCTGCGCAGCCATTCACTCAGAGACCCAGGGACTTAGGAGAGCACGAAGAGGAAGGCACGGACCTCTGTTGGCTCAGCTTCTTGGAAATGCTTGGGAAGTGACTGATTCTATTGTGGATACTCAGTGAGCCCCCAGCCCCAGCCAGCTGTGTCACACACATGTGCATTTAGCCAAAGGAACTAGATATCTCAACACAAACCCGTTCAGGTGCTGTCCTCAAGACTCTATGTTTATGCCAAATTGAAGGATGCCTTTTTCTGTTTTCTCTGGCAGGCACCGCCTAGAATCCTTCGATCTCGCTTCAGGAAGAAAAGTACCTCATCCTCCGCCACTGAAACCACGTGAGTGAGATGAGCCAACAGCACCGGATACACAGAATGTTTCTTCTCTGCCTTAAAAGAGCTATTCAAAAAAACAGAAATCTGCAAGCTGGTGTGCTTTGAGTGTGCAGCCTCACAGACTTGGCCTTTTTTCTCTCTCCCCTCTTCCACTTTTAAGATACTTGTTTTTCCCTTTATTTTGCTGGGGAGAGGCTAAAGGGAAGGTAGTGAGTGGGGGGAGGTGTGATTTCCACAATTGGATTGTCATTACAGATAGCAGTGTGTTTTTAGAAACATAAAAGAATGACCCCCACACTATTGAGATGTACATTTGTAATTTATTTGTTGCATATTTCCTTTTTAGTCCTGTAAATGCAAACAAATCAATTTTTTAAAACTTTTTTTGTTCTTGGTACTAATACTTTGGACTACAGTGTACATATTTATGGCTTTTGGCTTAATATAATGAACTTGCAAGGGCTGCCAGAGATTCTGATAATATAAGAAAACTGCCGAAACAGAAGGGTAAAAATTTTTCGATTCTAGAGAATGTCTTAGATGTGCTTGTAAAGCTTCCAAATACAACTCCAGTAAATTATCCCTTTTCCTACAGGACGATGGTCCATAAACTTCAGTGTATCAGAGGTTTAGAATGAAGAGAGACAATATTTTAGTGACAGGTGACTGTAATGAGGTTAGGGGCACAGCCTAGAATAAAAGAATCACAGGAAGCTTGTTTTCCCCTTGGATTCAGGTTGAGCTCCTGAGTTCTTTCCGGGGTTACCATTTGCCACAGGCAGTTGGCTCCCCCTTGGTAAAGCTGCTCAGGGATGCGGACTCGCAGAGCTGTTGTTGTTGAGAGCTTCCAAAGTTCTTGACAAATGACTTGTTTCTCCTTCATAGTAACCTGTGCTGTGACTAATCTCTCCAGGTGGAGGAGCCTACAATCTGAGCACCTTCTTTCAGAGAACACTAAGCAAAAACCAATGACTGAACCAAATTAAAACAAAACCTAGAACTACGCTGTTTCAGATATACTGTAAAAATACATTTGAGACACCTGTGTAACAATCAAAATGCTGGGTTCTAGAAAGGTTTTAGAGGTTGAGATCTTTATGGATATGACTTGCTGTTCAGCTCCATGGGCAGCTGTGGCTCATGTCTTTTGCCTTTCTGTTCTCTTCCTGGCTTATGCAGAATGTGAGAGGAAAGTCGCACGCTCACGGGCACTCCAAGTCTTAATGGGCGTTTTACACACGCCCGTATTGCTTGGAGAATAAAGTACTACCCAAGGGGACTCCCTACTTGGATTGAGAATTTGTCAGAAAAGACAAATCTGGTTTAAATAGGTTCAAGGTAGCTGCTTTACCCTTGGAGAGCAGAGCTTAAATGTAGGACTGTGTATTTGTGCTTAAGAGTTGGTATTTTCTTTCAGTGTACTGCATGCAGTGGTTACAACCCAGTTATTTATAATATTTGGATTGTGTTTGTTCTTAGATATGCCCTGAAGACTAGAGAATTAGTGTTACATACCACAAAGAACTTACTGTCAACCAGTTGTAAACAGGCCCAATTAGACTGTTCCATTACTGAGCTACGCGAGTACATCAGTGGTCTTTGCTGATGACACATTGGCTGGATCTTAGCCACCTCACAAAGGGTTCTACTTGAAGTTGATTGTTACCAGATGTACATATTTAAATCCCTTCTTCCCCCAGTTACTCTGAAGGTGACTTTGTAATTTATAAAAAGATTTAGGAAAATAAACCTAAAAGCAAATTTGTGATTCAGAGGACAAATAGCTGTCTGTTCATTGTCTGTGCCCCACACCCACCAATACCTAACCTGTTTAGGAAAGATAGAAAAATCGTTTTCTTCAAGTTCATGGAATAGTTTCAGACAGAGGGAAAATATATGCTTTAAATGTATATACCTGCTAGTTGGGAGTGCCCAGAATTATCAGAAACAAGTGCATAAAAAGCTTAACTTAAGCAGCTTTTTAGCAACTTTTCTTTTGCCAAAATAACACATGCCTATAGCAGCAGAGATTAAAATTCTATTGTGAACAAGCTAGATTTTCACCATTTTACAATGGAAAGTTTTAACAAGTACAGACTATCAAGTTTGCACTCAACTATGCCAAAAACAAGTTTGAAGCACTCTACTTTCAAATGCTGTATTACTTCTCATTCAAGATTTAAAAGATATGAAGTTATCCAAACTGCTGTCTTAATGTAAATGTAACTATTTTTCCTTCGTGTTGATTAGGGAGTTGGTTTCTCTCTTAAAAACACTCACTGTACAACTGAGAGCAGCTGTCATATTTCTGGCAAAACGTGTTTACTTATCCAACAAGCTGTTATATTTGCGTAAGGACTGAGATAAAATGTGAATGCCTCAAAGTGTACATGTAGTGGTGTGGTGTTCTGTCCAGAAGATATAACTAAATGTTTTTAATTTGCTGATATACAGACTTAGGCTGTTTACAAAATGCTAGCTTGAAAGTCTGTAATTTTCATGTAATAACTTTTATTTGCCATTGAGCACCTGATCTGTTTGAGGTGGTGAGATGTGGTGTTGTACTTATAAACTGGAAAGTTTAGTCATAAACCCTCCTGGCTTTGTGTGAATAGCTTGTTCGTTTTGCTGGTCTCTGAAACGTGTGTTCTCTGTAGCAAACTGTCCGTGTGTTTGTGATAACAGTGCTTGTTCACCATGACCACCATTGAGCACCTTCCTAGTTCTTCATCTTGCACAGTATTTAAAATGGTAAAGGATATGTTTCATTCTCGAACAGCTGACATGCCGGACTGCGACCGTGCATATTCTCCCTAGTTTCTGTAGTCTCTATAGAACGATCTGTAATAAAATAGCATACTGGACTGTGCATCAAAGGGGTGTAAAATCACAGTATTCCAAAGGTTGAAGTTCTGCTGTTTTGTTATAATGCCTGATATATATCTTGAATAAAGTCTTAGCATTTTTCTTTTAAAAGACATCTTTGTATTGTTAGGCTTATGAGGAAAGAGAAAATACTTTTTAAAACACGTGGAAGGTAGCAAAGATTAGAAGTTGAATGCTCAGCCACTAACAGACTTAGTGCCTGGAGACCTGGCCTCATGCCCACTACACTGAATTGCTGCAAGGAAAAAAATTAAATATTGGTGTTTTGAAAACCAGTTGTTCCCATAAATATAAACTTGGTAGTATTATTGTTTTATATTTTTAAAGGGCACCAGTGGAAACTGGGTAGCTGTGAAAATAAAATAGTAGTCCATCTGGAAGGCAGTTTCAATTCTGCAAACAGACCTTTGGTCTGTTTTGCTTCTTTGAACCTGTTTCCTCCTCTGCAAATGGGGGGAGAACGTATGTAGGTTAGAGGATGGGGTGCCTGTGGAGGTGCACTGGGTGGTATGGACGCCCCAAACACCACTGCAGCCTTGCCTTTAAAATATAAACAGGCACACATAAGCTTCATTGGGTGGTCACAGAGACTTGGAAACTCAAAATTTGAAACATCAAAATGAAACACTCATTTTCTTTGACTTTATAGTCCTATATTCTATGTTAGACACGAGGACTGCAAATTAAAGCAGCAGCAGGTAAAGCAGATTCAGAAGACTGAAAAGATGGAAAGAAAAACCAGGATGAGAGGTAACAGTTATAAAATTTAAAAGCTGACTTGGTATAGTGTCATACTTAGTATTTATAATGCTAGTCACTTGTTGATTTAGATATGAATTTTCATGTTATTAGAAGATTCAGAGAAATACACGGGATTCCAAGGAGTTAGACTTAGGTTCTGAGTGACGTATTAGCTATATTTTGGGTTATTTATCTAACCTTCTGTAAGCTTCAGTTTCCTAAAATCTACACTAGGGATAACTCTTATCTCTTTGTAAGGCTGGTATGAGGATCAGTAGTTTTGTAGATACATGCTCATTCCTATGCTGGGGACAGAGGAGGTTTTCAATAAATTATATTTTTACATATACCTGAATGCCATTTAGGTAGACCCTTTAATGAAAGATGTTTTGTTGTCAGACTATAAAATCAGTTTGATGAAAAACCCTGCTACCTACAAAAATTATAAATGAAAACTCGCTTTCCCTTAAACTGTGTACTTGTCAGCCCTTCTCCTTCAGTCCACCTGTGGATGCTGAGGCCTGCCTGCCAGTCCTTGTCTCTGCCTCCCCTGACCAATGCCTAGAGGAAAAACCAAGGTGTTCTGATGCCCCAGTGACAGAGACCTTGTCCATATTTGTACTTAGGGAAGTCAAGGAGGCAGGGAGAACGTCTTCCTTCTCAAATTCTTCAGGCACTAGTTCCATCCCACGACCTGAGGTAAGGTGGTAAAACAGGGCAGGAGCCAGGCAGGTGGGAAATGACATGGAAGCCTTGTCAGTGGTTGGTTTCTGCCATCTCAGAAATGTGAGATAATGAAAACACATCAAAACAATGCCATTCTATGCTGTAGCCTCTTACCTCATCTCTAATGAAATGTCTGTTCTTTACTAATTGGTCCCATATATACACTTTTGCCTTCTAGTTTTAGAACACTCTATAGGTGCTCCTTTTTCTTTTTAATGCACACACACACTGGTTTCAAGGAATTCCTCTAATAATCCTAAATTGACATGCCACAGAATTTCAATTTGGTTATCTTTTACCTTATTCTATTAACAATAGAGGTCCTTCATCTTAATTATCATCAACTATTATATTAAAGGATTTGAAACAATAACTGAGGGACACTTCTATTTAATTTTTTTTCAACCAAAGTGCTGTTGTTTGAAAACGCTCCCAGATGATTGCTGATGAGAAAGCTGGGAACCACTGCACAGACTACATCTACTCAGTCAACTGAATTTTCCTCAGTGCTCTTACCTGACCCTCTTTTAAATGAACAACACTTAACTCTTACATCATTCCTAAAACGACTGAGGTGACTTTTGACCCTTTAGTTTCTATGGTGCATATTTGGAAAATTTCGGAAAAAGTTTATCCTTACAATTAAAAATATGAAAAGTCTCAAGTACATAAACTAACTTTAAAAAAATACAATATCTTTTGACTCTTGGGTAAAAAGTTTTTGTCTTCATTTGTATAGCCACTTGTTTCATGAACAAGCATACTGACAGGCTATTTCATTCACATTTACTCTTCTCTCTGTAAAAAAAAATTGTTCCAATAAACTAAATTGAGAAATGCTATGAACACAAGGAACCCAGGATACTAGACATATGTTGCCACCCATGCTCACGTCTAAGTGAAACTGCCCACAAAACTATTTTCTGCTCCACACAAACCCGCTACCACAACCAAATGGGCCAGGGTGGGCTCCTGCCCTAAGAACAGCCAATCCCTACACTATTTGGTAACCTGAAATGAGACCTGGTGTTAAAAGATAAGCTGGCCAGTTAGTCTCTTGGCAATTGGAGAGAGGGACTGAGGGTCATGATGTAGAAAATAACTTTAAAGGGTCAAGCGAGAGTTATTATGAGAAAGCAGAAACTAAGTCAGCAAAAGCTATGAATTAGACAATTTGGTGAGTAGAGAGAGAATGGAGTCAGCAACTTAAAAAGAACTGAGTCACATGAATGGCAGACCCTAAAACTCCTGCTGAGGCTCCTGAAGGTAAGGTGGGATCCAGGATCATCATACAATTTGTACTCTTCCTGAGGCCTAGGAGTTATTTCTGGGTGGGAGATGGAGGTGGTATGGTAGTTCCCGAGTTCCCAGGCATGTATCCTTAAAAAAGAAGTCAGAACGTGGTTCCATAGTGTAGTGGTTAGCATGTCTGCTTTACACGCAGAAGGTCCTGGGTCTGCGCCCCAGTGGAGCCAAGGTCCATGGTCTACGGCCATGCCACCCTCAACAAGCCTGATGTCTAATATCAGAAGCTAAGCAGGGTCGGACCTGGTTAGTACTTGGATGGGAGACCACCTAGGAAGACCAGGTGCTGGAGGCATAAATAATAATAATAAATAAAAAAGAAGTCACACTACTTGAGCTAACTCGTTAGCTTTAGAGTCTTTTTATGTGTCTGTCCTAACTTGGGATTCCTTTGAACTAAATAAGCCTAATTGGAAGAACTAGTTAAGCCACTACCATTTGTTTAAAGTAATCAATAATTTTAAACTTCTGTTTCCCTGAACAAATGTGCAAAGATTTAATTCATTAAATTTTTAAACTCTAATAAGTTTAATGTTGGTACTGTATGTTTCCATCAGGTTGGTACTACTTACATCACATTTTATACTTATTCATTTTTGCAAAGACATCATATACACAAAGATACGTATTCAATAACTGGGAAATCGTTAACACTTCTGATCTATACTTTCAGGTTTGTTCGATCGTGATACTTTTGATAAGGATCATCAGCATACCAGTTTCGCCTCTTCCAGAAAGATGTTGTCATTTTATCTAAGAGTTTACTCTGGGTTTTATTGCAGAACACAAATTCCCTCAAGCGTCTTTTTCTTGCAGTTGTCTTTTTCCATAATTTTTTCTTATAACCAGCCTGTTAGATATTAAAAAGACATTTAAAACATTATAGAAACAACAGATAGCTTTACTACTCATGGTTTATAGGCCCAATGGGAACACAGACAAGACTTTCACAGGAGCTGGTATGTTCCTCAGAAAGATGTGATGATTCTCAGTGGGGGTTGGATGGGAAGGTATGTGTGGTTTGAACAAGAAATATTAAAAATTAAAATTTTGGAAAAGATTTAAATGAAAACCACAGAAAATAAAGCTAAATAAATCTTTGTGGCTGATTAAGTACAGGGTAATGGTATATAATTATCATAATAGTTAACTTTATATGCATTACCTTACCATCTCCTTAACAATCTTCAACATACCATTTCACTTTACAGATTTATGAGAAACAACCATTGCTTCGAAAAGTTATGTAGCAGACTGAGGTCAGAGAACTAATAAGAGTTCTTAGCCATTACACTGCTTTTTTTCCTAATGTGAAGAATGATAAAGGGAGTACCAGCTAGGTTGATGACACTTATGTTCATTTAAGGGGGCTAAATATTTTAAGGGCCAAGAAACACAGTTCTCAAATATAGTACTTCATTTATTCTTTCCATATACTAGGGACTAATTTCTGTAGTAAATACTTTTCTAAAGAATAATGAATATAGTAAAACTATTACTAGGAGTGATTAAGAAATGAATGGTTAACCCGTGTGTTTAACCTAGAACTGCCATATATATACCATCCATGCATTATTAATTTTGGAGAAATAATTTTTGAAGAAACAAAAAACTAGATTTAATAAAAAACCTGTAATCACAGCCTGTTTAAACAAGAAGAGATCTTAGATACCACCCAGGTTAATGCCTGACTAAAACCACATAGTAAGTTATGAGGTGGGACTAGAATCCATGCTGTTGGTAAGAGCCCTTGGGCCCTTGCAAGCCAAGAGCTCTTTAGGGCACCATACTAACTGAAGAAAACCATAGCTCTTCTCTGAGAAGGTGCCTTGGGTTTTTGACATGTCTTAGTATCTTCACTGTGACCAGCAAGTTCTATAGTAATCTCAGAAATAAAGATTACTTAGGAGTTTTGGTTTTAAAATACCAGAGGTTAGATTTTTACTACTCACTGGTTAAAATTTTAAATAGAGTCAAATCAAAATCCCCATATCTGTATAATAATTTTCTAGTTTGCAAGCCAAACTGGGTCCCTATGGCTCTCTGATTTACAGAAAGCTAATTTGCTGTCCTGCCCATCACCACCAGTATCCTTTGAAGATTATTTTGTGGAATACAACAATGGGAAATACTTGAAACATTTTAGACAATCTCTAGGTTCAGAAATGAATGGACGGGATAAACAATAAAAATCAGGGACACCTGGATTAAACTGTCCCACAGAAAATAATTTGGTTTTATATGTCAGTTAACCCACAGATTTTTTGTTTTCCTCTTAAAGATTTTGATGAAGTAGGCCATTCTGCATATGGAATACTTTTGGGGGCCCTAGGTGGGGACTAGGTATTATATTTGGAGAATCTGATCAGGTCTTTTAACAACATGAGGATTTCGGGGCCCAATTAAAGGGACGTGGAAAGGAAGGCAAAGATAACCACCTATTTCATTTTATCTAGGGTCAGATGAAGACCTGGAAATAATTAGTATGATAACAAAGGAATGGAATTGTTTCCAATTGTCCAAAATTCCCCATATTCAGAACTAATAGCTCAACTACTTAGTCTAGCTACTTATGGATTACATGAGCTTCTACTGACTAGTGTAGGAAACCACCACAGTATTATCCTGATGGAGAAATGAACTGAGAGTTCTAATCAACCTATTCATTTACAAATTTAGGATCATTTATGAGATAGGGGATAATCCTTTCAACCTATCAAATAGTGAGACAGTCCTACCAATTATTTTATTTTTACAGGGAAACAAATCTTTAAAGAATCATTTGTTAATTTTCAAGTACTAAAAGGGAATTAGGATTTGAATAGTTATCAAAACTCAAAGGTGGTTTTGCAAAACTCTGGTCTTCTGCTGCTTTCTAATGATCAGTTACTCTGTTTCTATGAATGAGAATGAAAAAGCCCATAGTCATGCATCAGAAGAGCTGTGGGAAAGGACAGAGCAGTAATAATCTGTCAGAGTCCCCCTTAGTGGCTGTGGATCCTGGCTAGAGTAAGTATTAAAGTTCTGTCTGATATGGTCCCCAATCATATCAACAGAGAGAAAAACTTGGAAAAAAAAAAAAAGTGTATGTGAGGTTAATGTTCTTCCTGTAAATACTAAAACACCTGGAGAATCCAATTCAAGGCAGGCTGAAAAGCTCTTCAGGCCCCAAATCTGAGCCATGTGACTAAGTTCTTGCTGAAGTCTCCACTACTGTAATACTATAGGCCTAAACAGAGCCTCCCCACAGGTGAAGGGCTTTCACATTGGAAGTTTCACAGGGCTTCTGGTAATCATTAGATAAGCCAGACATGTAAGAGACCTAAGATGAACCTGTCCTACACTGGAGACTTTCACCATTGTAACATTTTATGAATGCCTAAACATGTTTTCTTCACATGGATTCACTTACATGAAGAGATGCCTGCCAAGCCGTACTTAAGCACAGCACAGCACTGTAAGAGCTACTGCTAAAATGGGAAGAAGACATGTCAATGAATAAGCAGAATTCTGCTTCATTTTTATACTTCTTTTTAAATCAAGTAACAGTGTGAAGACTCACCTTCCTCCTTAGCCAAAGGCCAGAATGAAGTCGAAGAAACCTATAGATGACGGCTTTTACAGTCTTTCTCTTGCCTTTTCGTGAACTGAAGTACGTTACAGTTCTGACTGGCAGCTTCAGGACATTTGGAAGCAAGGGGGCCACTCTAAAATATATTTTAAAAATTTTAACTCAGCAATAAGTGATTAAAGGAGAAAATATGTTTCTATACTTAGAAATAAGTAAAGCAGCTCCACTGGAATACAGCTGACTGTTTAATATACATTAGCACTTCAAATGATCCATGACACTAAGCATAAATAATAGCAGCTATCACCAACTTGCAAGCATGTCCTAATCTATAACCCCAATCCCTATGACAGAATTTATCCTATTATATTTTAATTATCTGATTTTTAATCCACTTGCCCACTATATTATAACTTAAAGACTTCAATTTGTTTATCTTTTTATCCTTTCTGCCAAGTATAGTACTGGGCACCCAGGTATGCTTAAATATTTGCTGACTAAATGAACACCACATGCAGCCCAGCCTTGTAAGCTGAGTATCTTGTTTGCCCTCCACTTTAGCTGACAGCTTCTATTCAGAAAACCATATCTAGATCAGACATATGCTATTTGGTAGTCCCTGCTGCTAGAATGTAGGCACATGAATGCCAATCTTATTCTCCCTTCTCCCATTCCATCAGGCAAAGTCTATGTAATAAATCGCAGGCAGAAAAAGAGCATCATCTACCCCAATATGTCTCTGCAGGCATGAATATTTTAGTATTTTTGTCCAAGCATCATGTTTACTGAAATATACTCTACCTATTGAGGATTGTTGCAGTATGATCACATGTCAGGTTTCTGACAGATGTGGTAATTCTGGGAGCAGAGGAAACAACTGAAGTCTGAATATGACTAAAATGTTGGGCGGACAGTGAAGAACTGAGACGGGCATTCTTGACACAGTTTCGATAGGCTGAAGACACCAAAATATTCAGGGGCCGTAAAATTCCTGTAAAGATAGAGAAGCATATGTGCTTAATATGATACTCCAAAATATGCACCTAGATATTTAAAATTAATGTATCAAAGTAACCAAGTGTTATACATTAGTAATGTATCCTGAGCATCAGACCCATCCATGGAGCTTTTTATCAACTTTACTGAGGTATAACTTACATACCACAAAATTAGCCATTTGTGTATGTACAAGTCAATGCTTTCTAGTAAATTTATAGTTATGCAACCATCACCACAATCCAGTCTGATGTATTCTAGTTCTATGTTCAACAGTACAGGACAAACTATATGTAACATTAATTTCCATCTGCCAGATCTTAGGCTCTGATGCAATATAACTCCCACCCATAGTGCAATGGCAAAGCAGAGACACCAAAGCTTGACAACTCCCTGGAGAGACCAAAGAGTGGCAAGAGGAGGATATATAAAGAAAACAGAAGAGGTACTTGAACTCTCCTCCAAAAAATGAATAGGCCATGAGAGGAGGTACACAGTCCAGAATAAAAAACATATGCAAAAACAAGAAGGCTGAAACAAATACATGTCTGGAATGGGACTGGACTTGCCACAGAAGCTGAGCACTGCTTGCCTGACTGTATCAAGAGATGCCTGGGGAGTAGGAGTAGGAAACAAGGGCCTAGATGTGTGGACTGAACGCAGTCCTCTTTATCTATCCCACACATTACTGCCAGACTAGAGTCCAGGTCTGCAAAGCAGAATCACTCAGAGCTCAGACTCCACTCGTAGATTCTGAGTCTAGTGTAGGATTCAAGAAGGTACACATTTAAAAAGTTCTACAAGATGATGGAAATGTCCTAAAAATGGATTGTGGTGATGGCTGCACAACTCACTAAACTTACTAAAAATCATCAATTTGTACACATAAAACAGGTAATTTTATGGCATGTAAATTATACCTCAATAGATGATTTTTTAAAAAGCTCCATTAAGTCATCAGCTCAGCCAGGGCTTAGAACCACTGCCTTATTATCTACTGCACTGATTTCACATAACAAATGAGGAAGCAGTGTGATGTAGAAATGAAGTGCTAGAGTTTGAGTCCAACTGCATTCATATTCTAGCTGTGTGACCATGGCAAGTTATTTAACCTCTCTGCCCCAGTCTCCTCAAATTTAAATGAAATTTATCATGGGGAGATAATAAGAATTAAATGAGATAATATATGTAAAGTGTTAGGAAGAGTGCTTGGCACAGAGAAAACATTTAATGCATGCTAACAGCAAATAATAAAGAAAAGCCAAGGAATGCTTAGCAAAGTTCGTATGTTAACAGGAAAAAGGAAGACGGAACACTTAAAACCCTTATTTTGCTTTTGTGTTCTCTACCAAACATAACAATCTTCAAACTAAAAAGCTAGCATAAACATTGAGTTAGCTGAAATCAAGATTCAGGAAACTGGTCAGAGCCCTTACATCAGGCCCTGATAAGTCAAATTCTCTACTCAGTGCAGGCATTCAAACTCCAGGTACGAATAAATTATATCTCAAAGAACTAAAAACATTTGCAGATATGATTACAAGCCAGGAGGTAATCTTTGGAAGATTAAGTGAACTGAAAAGGAAGATTATAGACAAGAAAATATCCCAATTTTCACAGGCCATCAGAGCTTGATATATCTCAGTTAAAAACAAACTCTTAGAAATTCTTGGAAACCAAGCCCGAAGGAAGTGAGCAGACAGAGTCTAGAACATATAAATAGGTAGACTAGGGGCTCATCTGTAGGAAAAAAATGTTAGAATGGATAAACAGGAAGTACACAGAATAAAATATATTATCACTTGGGAATGTACACAGTCACTAGCCTGGGAATATCTAGACACAGTGTACCCTGACTTTAAGATGTCATGTGAAAAAGTTTCTTTATATCCTAAAGAAATTCCTAAATGTGAGCAGGATAATAGCACAGTTAGGTAAATTCCAAGCTGACCAGAAACTATCCCCAAATTAGTCTACTGTTGTTCTGGTCAAAGTCTCTTCTTGGGTCACTGATTCCATTTTCTCCCAATTTTTATGAAGGTCCTGAAACTGCATAAAGTATGTTTATTAAATCTGCATAAAAAGTAAGCTGGGAACTATGCCTTAGACACATAGTTGTAAAAAGATAAACTATCTGGACTCAAAATGACCTCAGTAAAAGAGAAAATGGATCAAAATTAACAAGGTGAACTCTGGGATAAACACACTGAGGTTAGAAAAAAATGGCTACCTGTAACGACATGAAGGGTGAACTTGGCTTGAGAGTTCCTGGAAAAATGACTTGAGGGGCCTTATCCACCATACCCTCTGGTGGACCAACCATGTGATTTAGTTTGTAAAAAATGAAGAGTCAAACTCAGAGTGTGTTTAACAAAAGGGCAGCACATAAATCAAAGATAGTAATTAACGGCTCCTTCGGTCTTCTGCCCTGTTTCGGCATTCTAATACAGACCAGCTTTCTCTAAACACATTCTTATATGGAGAACACAGACGTTGTTACAAAGGAGGTGACACAAAACTAGGGTTTTAAAAGAATAAGAGGAGGCAGAGGAAACAGAAGCAGCACAGTACCCCTGCCCCCACCCCGCCTCCTAAAAAAAGCATAGATGAAGGGGCAAAAACAGTGGAGTATGTTTGGGGAATTATAAATAGCCCTGTGCAGCAGGAAGCGAAGGAATGGGGTAATGGGCAGAGAGGTGGTCTTCTGGCTTTTTTGATCCTGTATCCTCTAGAAGAATTCTGAAAAATTATGTACTCTTTCACAAAATTTTACATATCTAAAAGTTTTAATAGTTTAAATTGTTAAAAAGGATATAATCTCCAGTATATTTAAAATATTGACATTTAAAATAAAGCTGTCGCATCACTCTTTTAAATGTTTTCAGTGGACTCATAGTTGATACCCACCTACATCATCTATTTAAAAAACACAAGGATAATAAATTCAAGTTGATGACAATAAGAACTTCTTATCATCAAACGATACTTTAACTAAAAAGGCAAGCCAAAGTGGGAGAGAATATTGGAAACATGCTTAAATGAGAAAGTTCGCATATCCAGACTATATTAAGAACTCTAAGACAACTCAGTAGGAAAATAGGCAAAATGTTTAAGTGGGTACTTCATAAAAGAAATTTAAATGGCCAGTACACGGGTAAAGGTATTCAGGCTCATTACTAATCAAGAGAAATGCTATTTAAACTACAATGAGACACCACTAAATACACACCAGGTTGACAAAAATTTGTAAGTGTAACAACTGTTGGTGAGGAAGTGAAGCATATGGTGCTGGGGTGACTTTAAATAAGCACATCACTTTGGCAGTGTCAGGCAATGCTGAATACATACATGCTCTCTGATTCTGCAATTCCACAGCTAGTTTCATATGTGTACACACACACACACACACACACATACACACACATACCCCTTAGAGAAATTCTAGCACTCAATGTCCCAGGACACAAGGTCAATCAGCTTTGTACCTAATCACCCCAAACTGGAAACACCTAAATGCCCAACAATAGTAAAATGAAGAATTGTGGGGTAGTCAGTCACATGAGACTATTATACAGCAGCAACCAGAATGCACTACAGGTACATGCAAAATGAATGAATTTCACAAAGTAAAAGGATACAAGAGTAAGTACTGTGTGATTCCATTCATGTAAAAGACAAAACCAGATGAAACTAAACAATATATTAAGGATGCTAAAACTATTACAGAAAAAAAAAAGACAAGGTAATAATACAAATGAGGATATTATTTACATTTGGCCAAAAATAGGGACCTTTGATTGAGGAGGCTCATAGGGGTGAAGAAGGCGCTCATTAGTGTTCTATGTCCTGACCTGGATGTATTAGTGTTCTATGTCCTGACCTAGATGTTAGTTATACGGATCTCTGCTTTACATTTACAGGCATACCTTGGAGATATTGAGGGTTGGGTCCCAGATCACTGCAATAAAGCAAATTACATGAATTTTTTGGTTTACACTATACTGTAGTCTATTAAATGTGCAATAGCATTATGTCTAAAAAATACATATCTTAATTAAAAAATATTGTTAAAAAATACTAGCCATCATCTGAGCCTGTTTGAAAAATGGCACCAATAGTCTTGCTCCACACGATTACCACAAACCTTCAATTTGTAAAAAAGGCAGTATCTAAAAGCGCAATAGATGAGGTATGCCTGTATTTGTTAAGCCATTCATGTGTGTTACATTTTACATTGTAATATTTTACAATTTTTCTGTTATATTTTACAATTTAAAAATACCCCATGTAAACAAGCCCTTCTGTAACAGGTGGGAAATTTACATAGTATCTTTTTTCTTTATTTCTATTCTTCCACAGTTTTTTTCTAATTTACCTTTTGTGAAAGTAATCTACTGATAATTTTAAATGTGAATGACCTTTAACTTTTTGCAAAGTCCTTGAGCAACTAAATTAAGTTGCCTTCATTCATCTAAGCCAAGAAATACTTGACTGCCCTTCTGCAGCGGTCTGAGTGAACGAAACAAGCACGTTTCCTGTATGTTGTGTGAATCTCGCACATGCAAAACTATCATGTGCCGCACACTACTCAAAGGGCTTTAGGCACTGGACCTCATTTAGTTATTATTCGCATTTTAGAAGTGTAGAATCTAAAGTTCAGAGAAATAACGTTTTCAAGGTCAAAGGTCCTGAGTAGCTAGTCCTAGCCTCTGACTCTGAATTAGAAAGTGAGGGAGGCTTTTTCTGTCTCCCCTGCTCCCCTCCGCCCCTGTCCTTCTGGATTGCTTTCTAGGGAAGGCAGAATGGCTAGGAGCCAGTAAGGAAGCGGAAACTTCGAGCCACACTGGTCTGCGAGGGTCCGAGGGTTCAAGAGTCTCGGAGATAACCTGGGCGGCCAAATACAGGCAACCCCGGAGAAAATTCGGAATTCTGTGACCTGAAATAACGACATCCCCCGACCCACTTTTTCTGTTAACCTCCACGCTAACTGCCCATTCCGTCCTACGCCAGTCCCTCCTTCCGCAAAAGCAAAAATCAAGCGCGTTGCTCTCCACTGACCTGATGCTGCCCTCACGGTACCAGCAAACGCCGCGGCCGCCATTTTGACATCGCGCTCTACGGCAGCCGCATTGGCTCTAAAAGGTTCAAGACAAAGGGGAATTAAGGAAAATAACTTGGGTAGAGTCAAGGAAGGGACAAAAATTAATAAAGGGGCGGTCAAATCAAACTTTATTGAATGTCTTGTATGTGGCAGGCTGTCCTTCACCTCTGTGAAACAAGTGCCTGGCATATCGTAGGCCTTCAATACATTTTTATTTCGAATTTGATTGAAAAATCTATTTAAAATATATGACATATTTTAAACACAATTTCTTTTGGCTCATTTTATTAAATTTATTTGAGAATAACTTATTACCCTTCCATAACTGGTACATGAATGGGAAGTAGCAATATTATTAAAAAATTTTTAAATTTAATGCCAATTATAATCAAATAAATGTAAACATCTTAAGGATATCTCACACACTTTTTCTAATCAGTAACATTGTCATTTGGTAGAAGAGCATCTAAACCCTTCTTGAACAATTCTACGTTCCTTATTTTATTCCTGAGAATTAGTGATTGCATTTTTTTCTGTTGATTCAAACAGAAAAAATAAACCAATGAACATCTCTCCCATCCTTGTTGCCTAAGATATTCCATGCATATACAGTATATGAGACTATCTACTGGTTGAAATGGGTAAGGGTTAAATACTGGGAGTTCACATTTAATAAGGAGACAAATAACGAACATAAATACGAGGCAAGTAAATGATTCACAGGGGCAGTTCAAAGTTAAGGAGAGGAGACTTCTGATTGGGATGATGAGGGATGAGGAAACAGAATACAACATGGTACGTAAAGAATGGGGAGGATTTTAAAAAGGGCAAGGTCATTCTTGGCAGTAAGAACACCAGAGGATAGGGTGAGAAGGGAGGGAGCCAAGACATACACAGAATTTATTAAGAGCAGAACTTCTTTACCTGCTTAAAAATTGAGGACCCCAAAGAGCTTTTAATTATATGTATTATATTTATTAGTATTTACTATATTGGAAATTAAAATGGAAAAAATTAAAAATATTTATTGTATTAGTTTCCTATTGCTACTCTAACAAATTACTCAAACTTAGTGGCTTGAAACAATACAAACTTATCGTATAATTCTGTATGTAAGAGCCCTAAATAGGTTTAACAGATTAAAATCAAAACATCCAGGGCTGTGTTCCTTCTGGAGACTCTAGGAAGAATTTGTTTCTTTGCCTTTTTCAGTTTCTAGAGGCTGTCTGTCTTCCTTGACTTGTGGCCTCCTTCCATCTTCGAAACCAGTAATTGAATCACTCTGACATCTGCTTCCATTGCCATATCTCCTGACTGACCTTCTTGCCCCTCTCTTTCATTCATCAGAACCTTTGTGATTACATTGCACCCACACAGAAAATCCAGACTAGTATTCCTATCTCAAGATTCTTAACTTAATCACATCTGCAAATCATCTATTTGTCATTTAAGGTAATATATTCTCAGGTTTCAGAGATTAGGAGCATGTGGACATATTTGGGAATAATTATTGTCTATCACACTTATTTTAAAACAATTATAAACCCATTACACATTAACATAAATATTTTTATGAAAAACTATACAATATAAAAAAATTAGTGAGAAGTGTAGCATTGTTCAACCTTTTCGCAAATCTGTCAGGTCTGGTTTCATAGAAAACTGGATTCTGAAATTTGTTTATGCATACACTCTATTGCAGTGTCTGGAAAACTACAATTATGAGAAAATTAATGAAAACAGCAAATAATATCTTAATATTATGAAAGTAGTTTTGATTTTTTGGACCCCCCCTAAAAGGGTCTGAGTCTCCCCAGGGATTCCAGATCCCACTTTGAGAATCACTGAGATGGTTATCCTTCAGTTTCTTTGGGTTATAGGGCATATAAGTGAGTGATAAGCTTGGACAGCTATTGTTGTTATCTCCCACCTAGAGTGGCCATTTTGAACATAGAAACATCCACACATGCTGGAAAAGTACTCTTGAGACATTTCATATAGGCTCTTTGAATTGGCAGTAGGAGTCATTGCAATTTTTGAACAGGGGAGTGATTTAAATTTCTGAGCTACTTTAAGAGAGTCCATTTTAAAGCTAACAAAAATTCATAAATTGCATGTGGAGGATGAGGATTAAGGACTTGGTTATATGAGATGTTAAGAAACTATAGAAAATTATTTTTGAGTTTGAGATCTTGAAGCTGGTGAAGTTGCTAATGACATTCAGGCCCAAGCTGTGGTTGTGTCATAATGACTGGAGCAGACTGAAATTGCTCATTGACATTGAGAGGTTTATGGCGACGGTGTTAGCTAAGTCACCACACTGGCATCACCCAGCATGACAACAGTGGGCAGGAATGGGAGACTGCACATCTATTAATAAAATTTTACTTAAAAACATGGAAGACTGCTCTGGAGGCTGTTAAGTGATGGTGATAAGAATGAATTGTAAATAGAGAATGTAAGTGAAGAGTGTAATGTGATTACTAAAATACGCTTAAAAGCATTTAACATATACTAACATTAAGTAATTACTTGATTTTAGATTGTTTTCAAATGGTATTAGTGTTATCTGTCTCTAGGGAGAACACCATACTGTAATATATTGCCTAGTTAAGACTTGAAAGTACTTTGCAAATACAAGATATATAAAAGTTATTTAGTTTCTATGATATTATACTGTGTTCAATATTTAATGTTAACTGCGGCCAAATTACCTTTCTAAAATAAAAACTTGAAGAAAACGGTGTGGTTTAATCTGAAAGGAGGAGAAGCTGTGATCTGCCATTTATTAGATACGTGAACGACACAGTATTCACGAATGACTCTCTAGTGTTCGCTCGCCTAGTCTTCGCCAATCAGGAAGACTCCCGAAGGACTGTCAAACGAAACAAACGCGCAAACCAAAACCAATTTGGCCAAATCAACTGCTTTCTACGAAATATCCGACAGCGGACATGCGGACATGCTTTCTCGCTTGAATTCTCCGAAGAGTTACGCCTATGCGTTTTCCGCGCGGATCGAACCCTCAGTTTTAGACGTCCTCCCACCCCTCCTGTTCACCTAGCAACCCCGGATTGGGGCTACCGACTAGAAGCCCAGCGCGACCCGGAAAAAGAAATAGCCCTTTCCGCCAGGGGAAGGGATTACCCTCTGCAAACTTCCAGGGCGGGGACGAGAAAGACGGCTGCGCGTGCGCAGTGGCGTTACTGCCTTTCTGTACGCCCGGCGCAGAGGCGGCACGGACGGACGCACGCACCGACGCACGCACGCCCTCCTCGATTCGCGCCGCTGCGGCAGCTCCACTGTATACCAGCAGCGCTGTCCACCCGGTCGAGATGCTGCGAGCCTATCAGTTGTCGGGCATGACCTCAGCAGCCCAGGTGAGCGCGGGGTCGCCAGGAGAGAGCGCGTGGTGAAGCTGACTCCGAGACCAATGGAAAATCGGGGAGGCTTTCGCTCTGCCTAGGCCCCGGGACTGAGGTGTGTCTCAGGGCCGCCCTCATCGCGAGAGTCCCGGGCGGGCCCATCAGGCTGTGAACTCAGGTGTTCGTCCCACAGGGATGCCTTGAGGGTTATTGCTGTAGCGGGATGGGGTGTGGAAAGGAGAAGGTGGCAGGGAGGCGGGCGTAGGACGGGAGGCACGGCTTCGGGGACGTATCATCCAATCAGCCTGGCGCTACCCTATTCAAGGACCAATCGTGGCACCTGGAGCCCGGGTTGCCGGTTGGGCGCGTGATTGGTTTCGCGCAGCCAGTGGTTGAAGGTCGAGGGGAGAACTACAGTTCCCAGCAGGAAATGCAGAGCCTAGGCTTGTATTTTTAATAAGCAGGTGCTTGGACTGTTAGAGTCCGCGTTTTAGGGGTCAAGGTTATAATTATTCGGGAGGGACTTTACATAGCTGAGAACACCTCTGAGCTATTCTTAAACGAAAGATTGTAGTTTATGGAGTTCAAACTCTTAGTACTTGAGCAAGGACAGGAGTCATGACCTTGTGCTCGTTTCTGAGATTAGCCTGGGCATCTGTGTCTCCAAAGTATTGGGACAACTTTGGCAAATGTCCAAGGAGCCTAGACACCCAGTAACTTTTCTTCATTATTATCGAAGTAACTTTCTAAAATTAAAATGTAAACCTATTTCTATTGCTCAAATTGATGTTTTGGCAAAACATTGTATTGCAAAACTGGTACTGTGACTCAAGCAGTAATTGAACAAAATGAATTAGAAATCATAAAAGCCAAATTTTTTTTCAAGTTTGTGTATCTTCTCTTTTGTTGTTAGGAGAAATAGCCTCTTCCATAAGAAAATGGAATCTGAATCAGTTTTCTATTGCTACATAATAAATCCCATACATTTAATAACTTAAAACAACATCTATTTATTAGAGTTTCTGGACACGAATGATCTGGTCTCTGCTCAGTGTCACACAAAGCAGCAATCAAGATGTTGGCTGTGCTGTGGTTCTCATTTGGAGCTCAGGGTTTTCTTCTGAGCTCATGCAGTTTGTTGGCATAATTTAGTCCCTTGTAACGGTAGTACCTTGCCACAAGATCCTCAGAGGCAGTTCATAACATGATTCTTCGGTTACTTGCAGGCTACCAGGAGCTTGTTTCTGACTTTAGAATCTCTCACCTCTGTTTCTGATCTCTAGACCCAGATTTAAAGGGTTCCCACTGTTAGGCCAGGCCTACCTGGATAACCTCTTTTTTGATTAATTCTGAGTCAACGGATTACATCTGCAAAATCTCTTTTGCCACACAACCCTAATCATTGGCTTAACAACAGGGGGTGAAGATCATGGGGGCCTTCTTAGAATCTGACTTACTGTAGTACCCAAGTGGGGCTAGAAAGGTAAAGAAAGTAGAACTAACTGCCATTCAGGATAGAACTGTTAAAGTTTGTCTTTGGAGTCCTTTCAATGTCACACTTTTCCTTATTCTGTCCTCAAGTTACATCAGGTTATCACTGATCTGTCCCCTTTGTCTACCCTAAAGTCCAAAACTACTTTTTTCTTTCTTACCTTTATCAAAATATTTTCCACTTGCTGGGTTCCCCATTAGGAAATTAGA